GCTAGTGCGCTCCACTGCTTGGCCTTCTTCTGGAGAGCCTTTTCCTTGGCCTCCATCGCCAAGATCTCCTGCTGGCTCTCGGTCAGCTTCCCGCCAGCCCCCGCCCCCGCCCCCGCCGCCGGCCGCGACGCGACCGGCCCCCTCGGCTGCTGCCCCGCACCACCCGCCGCCAGCGCCGCCGCCGCCGCCGCCGCCGCTCCTCCCTGAGAGGCAGAGCGCTGCTGCATCTGCTGGTTCTGCATCTGCTGCGCCCGCATCAGCATCTCCTGCTGTGCCCGCTGCTGGGGGGGGAAGCCGCCTCCCGGCCCCCCACCAACGCCAGGCCCGCCTCCGAAATGCCCACCCGGAGGAGGACGCATTCCCATTGGACCGCCGGGGCCCATTGGGCCGCCGCCCCTTGGGCCACCCATGCCTTTTTCGATGAGTCAAGGGGTGGTCAAAAGTTAATCCAACGAGAGAATCGCACGGCGGTGCAGGGGCAGCGGACGAATGGGCCGTCGGAGGGGAGGGAGCGAGGGAGGGACGGAGGGGGAGGTGGGGGAGGCGTTAGCTGGGACGTTGGGGGTTGTTGGGCGTGACAAGAGCTTGTGTGTTGTTCTGCAGCCTGCTGCTGTTGCGGGTCTCTCCACCCTTCGTTGCCGATGACGTGTGACGGTATCATGGATGTCACACGGGGCAGACTTGCTACGACTCGAGTATTTAGCGTTCCGTTTCAAACGCCTCGTCATTTGTCCTGTTTGCTCCGTTACTCTCATGCCCTGGTGCGTATCGCCTGGTGCTGGTATATTACCCGTTGATTTTTTCTTTAGGGCGGGTGTGGGAAGCGTCCTCCTTCATTTCTGTTTTTGTTTCATTTTGATCGGTTTCCGAGGGCTCTTTCCTCGAACGGTCGGTGCGGTACCTGTTCTTTTCTTTGAATCATCGTTTTGTTTTCTTTTTCCGAGTGGTTTGTACCCTATTTTTGGTTTGTTTCCCCGCGGCGTCGAATGTGCCGGGTTTTGAGACCACGGGTTCCCCATTTTCTGTGGACTAAAGCGCTAATGTGAGAAACAACAACAACAACAACAACAAACCTCGTCAACAACAAGCCGCGAGACACCGCAGACAACCAAAAATAGCAACCACGGCAGTGCGGTGTGTACGCTTGCGAGGTCGGAGCTTGCCTCCCGTTGTCCCCGTGTCCCTCTTTCACGAGCAGAAGCACAGCTACTGTAAATGGTACGTTTTTCTGCTGTCACCTCCCACGCCCATCGACAAGAAACCGCTGCCTGCACCAGAAACACCGCTAGTTGTTGAGGTTTCACGTGCGGCGTTCACCTCCCATGCCCTTGGCAACGAACCGCCGCCTATCCGAGGGCGAAAACACCGCTCTTGTTGTAGTCGTTGAGTTTTCACAAACCAGTCTTCACCCACCTCTCATGCCCATCGACAAGGAGCCTACACGAGCAAAAAAACACCACTGAACTCTTTGAGTTTTCACACTCAGCATACACGCACCTCCGATGCCCATCGACAAGAAAACACCGCCTACACGAGCAAAAAACGCCGCTAGTTGTTGAATTTTCGCACGAGACATTCACGCACCTCCCATCCCCATCGACAAGGAGCCACCGCCCATGCCAGGCTGACCCATTCCTCCCATTCCCGGCCCGCCGGGGCCTCCCTGGGGGGGGTGCATGCCCATTCCCCCCATCCCCATCGGCGGCATGCCAGGTGGACCTCCCATGCCTATTCAGCGAGAGATGACGGCACAACAAAGAGACAGGACAAAGGATCACGTGAGGTTTGCAGAGTGGAAAAAAAAACTTATTGAGGCAGTGCGTTGTCGGGGGCTACCGTATATGACACAAGATAACACACCCCCTGGACCTATTTTCAAAGCTCGACTACTCCACGACGAACAGGATGCATAAACGAAACGATACATGTTTGGAAAACTCTCGACGAGACGATTCCAACGCCGCCGTTTTCGGCGCCGTGACTCTTTCGGTTATTGAGAAATCGAGATTTGAAAATCGGTCCAGGGGGCGTGTTATCATGTGTCATTTACGGTAATCGGAAGCAATGTTGTGACCGCTGGGCCAGGCTTCCCACTGGGGGAGAAGCGCCGTTCGTTCGAAAACAGATAGTCGCTATTTCTCTTCTTCTCGCCAACACCTCCCCCCTCCCGCGCGCCACGCCGACTGATCTCCTGTCTCCGCACCAAATGCCGCGTGCCGCACAATTGAATTGAACTGCTTTGTCCATGCTGACTGTTTCTGCTTCTTTCCATGTACGGCTACGGAAAGGTGGTACAAACGGCACACAAGGCGGTCTACCGATACAACTGCTGCTGCTGTGCTCACGAGAGGAAAGCACCGAAGAAAGTGTGGGACTGCGTGGAACAAAATCTCCATTCCGGAAAATAACCACGGTGCACGGCGATGACGTATCTCCCGTACGCTTGCGCGCCATTCCCGTGTTCACGGAAACAAGCAAGCCACCAAACAAGGCCCTTCGTATCCCGAGAGCAGCACCAGCTCAATCCCCCTCTGTCTCACCATCATCATTCAGGAGAAAACAAAAAAACACAAACATGCCGCACTATCCTATTCCATAAAACCTGCCAGTCCCCGCTTTTCCAACTTACCCATTCCAGGACCTCTTCCCCCTTGCATCCCGGGAGGCGGCCCGCCGCGGAACTGCCCCGGTCCTTGCCCCCCCCCTCCGCCCATCATCGGTCCGCCGGGCCCCCCCATGCCGGGCGGCGGCGGCCCGCCCATTCCCGGGGGACGGGGACCGCCCATCCCCGGAGGGGCAGGCCCGCCCATTCCTGGTGGACGAGGCCCACCCATGCCTGCAGCAGCCGCGTTAACAGTAGTGGGTACAGCAGCAGCAGCAGCAGCGGCAGCAGCAGCAGCATCAGCATCAGCATCAGCAGTAGCAGAAGTGGATTCAGCAGCAGCACCGCAGCATATGATGCAACAAGCATGTGGACCAAAGGCGGGCGGGAGGAGATAGGGGATGCAGGGGACGAACAACGCTCAAAGGATTCGTTCACTTTTCACATTACAACGAAGCAAACACAGCATCACAGCGGTGGTGGGCACACAGGTATTGCATATGGACAAGTGGCTGCCCGCGAAAACCTGGCCAAGGCCCAAGCAAAACGCGCTCCCATCTACCCGCGCCGCGCCCAAAACACCAAGCTCAACAGCAGTTCTAGTATGGTTCGAAATACACCAATCCCCGAAATATTTACCTCGGGACCAAAGCCACAGACCAGGGGTGGGCCGTCGTAAACCTCCCCCATGCGCAACAAAATATTCCAGCGTCTCGTGTCTAATCATAAACTACGAATGACACGCTCCATGTGCAAGGAGCACGTCTGCATGCCGCCAATTAAAGCTGCAATTCAGCGCGGCTTAAGGGCAAAGAAATCTTCGCAAAACAAGCAGTTAAGGGGTGGCACGTACCTTCCGCTGCAGTGTGTATCTGAGACAGAAAAAAAGTAGACTACATACCGTTCGCTCATTTGTTTAACTGCGCGAGTGACGGTGCGAACAGAATTGGTAGATGCTGCGACAAAGACGAATTGCCGCCGTGCATCGCAAGCACGCGGTAAACGCTCTCTTGCTTACCGGGAGGCCCGCCGCCGGGTGGCGGTTGATTCATGGCTGCTTCACGCGCTTCTGCAATGTGAGAAAACAGGGGGGCATTGTACGGGGAGGGGCGGGGGGGGAGGGGTTACGCGGGATAGCCGGGAGATGCACAAGAATGATTGCTGTGACAGAGGACGCAACGCCTTCAGAGCGCAACTGCACGAATACACTGACGATGCCGTTTGCGTGTGCTGCTGTTCGTATCGACATCTGATCTTTGCGGTTCGACCTAGATACCAGCAGTGCTTTTGCTGGGAATCCGCTGCTGCAGTAGACTACAGCTGTGCTGCTATGTTCAGAGATTGCAACTCTGCAACACAGACAATTTGACCAAAATGATTAATGCACACCTTTTCGCAACGAGAAACCCGCAGTAAGAAGAGCGGGGTGCACAAATGAACAGCACGCAACTACGCGTGGACACATGTCGTTCTCTCCTCACCGCGGCGATGTTTGCACATCCCTTTACTCTGTAAGCTGCTGTCGGCAGGTGCAACACACAAACACTTGCCCAGAGACAGCAGTGGCGACGATCAAGATTGTGAGCAGCCGCAAGCAAAGTCACCAAGAGGCAAAGATACAACAACAACAACAGCTCGCAAGCACTGTCTTCCCCAGGCGTGTCGACCCCCCGTTCGTTAGATCCACGACAACAAGTACGGTGGTCAACGCCTGGCTGCTGCTGCTGCTGTGCTGCTGATGCTGAGAGTGTCGGTGGTTTTGAGGATCCCTGACCCTGTCCTGCCTTTTTCCCATGCGTTTTTCGCGATACGGCACAAGCAAATATAATCTTCTCCACCCACCTTGACCAAGCCTCCCACTGCCTTGGTTTGACACTCAAATCCTTCGCCGCGCGTCCAATCCACGCCCCTTGCGCTGCTTCTGCCTTGCGTGAGGGCCAGCTGGGGGGTGGGGGAGACGCACTTTCGTTTTGATTTGAAACACCCCCAATCCCAATAATACGTGCTGCGAAGCCCCTCGAGACACGCCGCACGCCGCACGCCGCACACCCTCCAGGAAAGAGCAATTTTGTAAGGAGCAGGCAGAGCGCGAAGACAAGGCCTCGGTCTTACTTGTGGTACTTCTGTCCATCTGCTACCTATTCAAGCCCCGATTCACTTTGCGGTGTGTATTAAAACAGGTACACAGTACACAGGCTATCGTACGATCAATCGCGAAAGTCCGATCTTACTGGTACGGGCTACAGTGAACACACGCGTCTCGTTTGGCCTGCTGCGGCCATCGACAGAATGGCGTCTCCCGATCCGGCTATCGCTGAGGTGAGCGCGCGTGCACTGGCGTTGTCACGCTGCACACATTCATCAAGGAAAACAACGGTTTACTTTTGGTTTTATCTCCACGCGGAATGTGAGGCGTGTACAGTAGTAAGACCCGTGACATGTTGTGTCTCCGGCCCTGGCTGGGGCGAACCCTTCGTGTCTGCAGTACATACCTTCGCGTGAAGACCGTGTGTCGGGGACTATACCTTGGTGGCACGGACGTACGTTACCGTCTCATCACCAGCTTCTTGCAAATACCCGACCGACCGAGAGGAGCTTGGCACAAAAAATTGCGGCAAGCCCTGGTTTTCTGCTTCGTTACCATTCCAAAGATTCAGAGGACATGAGATACAACCAATTCGTACAGGCCTGCGCGATAGGAGCGGACGGTCGACGCCGTTGCTGTCGATGCTCCCTCTCTGTTGACCTGCATGTTGTACGTATGCCAAGCTGCAGTCGGTGTTGGTCGTGATCTTTGTAAATTATCAGCGCATCAGATTTACTATTCTGGCCCGAATCGCGAAACGCTGCAGCAGCAACAACAGGTAAATAGCAACGCTGACAGGTGACGGGCTTGGTGAGGTTGCTCGATGCCCGGCGTTTCGACGACACCAGTTTTCTCAAGTCAGCTACAGTTTGATGGACGGAGGGCATTCCTGCATGCTGTTGGATGCATTTGTTGCGTTTAGTTCGACCATTTACTTCTTGAGCATACCTACTCCACCTCATTGCAATGAGGGGCGAGAGAGAACGGCCCGCGTGTACCGGATGCACAAAAGCAAACAACAGCGGTGGTTGTGGACTTCAAGACAACACGCAAGGCGCGGAGCTACCATCACCAGAAGCGACACCAGCACAGGAGCCAAAGAGCGCCTTCTTGTTTTATTTCTATATTTTCTTGCTTACAAAACGCCGAAATTCTTGATTCCACCCTTCCTTTCGGAGAGTGAGAGGACGGCATGCGGTAGGATGGATCCCACTGGTTCCCAAATCCACGGTCCCAACCGCTACACCATGTTTTCCTTTACTTCTTACCCAGCCAACGTCCTGAGCCACCATCTTTCCCTCTTCGCTTGACCCTCTCTCGACACCTACACGTCTGGCCGCGATCCAGGCGGTGGCACGAGGAAACCCTGTGGTATTTTTCGACGTGACCATCGGCGGGGCGCCGGCGGGACGCATCAAGATGGAGCTGTTTAAGGACACCTGTCCCAAAACCGCGGAGAACTTCAGGCGGTTCTGCACCGGGGAACACCGGCATCAGGTGCGTTTTCGTCCCCCTTTTTCATGATCTGTTTGCGTACTCCTTGGTACGTCTTTGGTGAGACCTTGCTTGTTTTTTCAGAAAAGTCAACATTACTCTCCAACTTCCCGTAAGTGTTTTGGTGTCCCCTATCACGCTAAGCCAGGTTCGAATGGCTTTTGTATGTGTCCACCCTCTATCAACGCTCGGGCTTACCCACCCTTTTTTTGCTTTACAAGTCATAGGAATCGACGTGAACTTGGGGCCAGCGGCCACAGTATTCTACTCCCAAGCCGCCCATACTGCTTGAATGACCCCTCTGCCTCCTGGCTTCTTTCTCTTTGCCATTCTCGCACCTCAACAACTCCTCCAACTGCTGGTCTGCCGCTCTGCTATTGTTCAACACACCCCGACATACATACAGCAGCAACAACAAGCAAACGCTTATTAATAATCTACGTACACAGCAACAGTCACCGTCTCTCATCTATCTGTTGACTTCATTCGTTCGCGTCGGCGTTTACGCGCCTCGTTGTGTCCATCGCGACGATGCAGGGCATTCCGACGGGATACAAGGGGGCGCCTTTCCACCGCGTGATCAAGGACTTTATGCTTCAGGGGGGAGACTTCGTGAAGGGGGACGGCACGGGCAGGATGAGCATCTATGGGGAGAAATTCGCGGACGAAAACTTCGACCTCCGTCACACAGGCGAGAAAAAAAGAAAGACAACTACACGCAACACGTAGAGTGTCGGTTCCGAAAGACGCCCTGCTTCGGCACACGGTCCTCGGCTGCGCCGCGGGAGCGAGCTTTAGTTTGCGAAAGGGGACGTTGCTTCGGCACACGGCCGTCGGTTTCGCACAGGGAGGATGCGCCTGGTTAGTGGTAGGCTGCTACTGCGCAACAAGGAAACTTTGTCTCGTACGGATGACGCACTTGTACGCGGCGGTAGCCCCGCTCGCCCTCCTTCATGGTGTTGTGCGGTGAATAAACACCAGCTTTTTTGGATTCGAAGACATCTCGCGCCTCGTTTGTTTCACGCCCTTCTCATATGTTCATTTTGTGTAGACTACCCCCTCCCGGTGTGTTGGTGACGTGCTTATCTTACTGCCTGCGTCGCGGCGGTGCGCATGTCCATCCCTCAACAAACAGGTCCTGGGCTGTTGTCCATGGCAAATAGCGGGCCAAACACGAACGGCTGTCAGTTCTTCGTGACGACGGCGAAGGCAGCCTGGCTCGACGGCCTCCACGTGGTCTTCGGAAAGGTGAGAGACAACACGGCGCCCATTAGGTCTGTTTCCGGCGGCTTGGGGTGCCCTCTCACCGCCGTCCTTCCTTACACCGCATCGAGGTAAACCCAGTTAGTTCCTGAACCTTGTCCTGGACGGAATAGCGTATGCACTCCATGTTTTGGGTGGTGTGATATTTCTGCGGTAGGGGCTCCGTGGGTGGCTCGTAGTTTGTTTTGGGTGCGCAAGTACGCTCGGCGTCCGCAGGTCGACGACATGGCATACTATGTATCCCTCTGATCCTCTCGTTTGGGTGGTCCTGGTTATGATACGAAGAAAACCCCTGAAGCAATGTCCAGAAAACGCGCACAATTCATTAGACTGCCATAGGCACGTAGATACCACGGAGACGATTTCGGACCCTGTCTAGTACGCCCGAAAGTAAGCGTGCCGATGGCCGTGGTCCTAGTGGTACAGAAACGAATGGAATGGGTGTGAAGAGCATCGTTGGGCACAGCACCCACCAACCGGTAGCGTGGCCCGGATACTCCGCCTCCACATCTACTCTCGCGTACGGGCCAGAGGTCCAAGTGGCAGTCGGCCACCTGTGGTTGTGAGCGGGTGCAACGAAATCGAGTTGCCAAATGTTTCCCCCAGCGTTCGGTCATCATTTTTTTCCTGCCCCACAAACGACGTTCGAAACTGCTCTTCTTCACCGTGGGTTGTTCTCTCGCCGCCCTTTGTTTCTTCTGTGGTGCCTACTTTTCACTTGGTTTTGCGCTATGGTGGTAACCAACCGCGTAGACGATGAGAAAAACGTCGAGTTCTACGTCGAACACTACTTGCCAAACCGTCGTAACTGCGGGTAAAACGTCGAGTGTTGAATCCCACTACTTCGGCTTTGTAGGAAGCTGGCTCCTTGTCGGAAAAAACGGGAAACGACAACAAGGTGCTGCGTGCTTGCTGCGCACCCGCAGGTGTTGGATCCAGCGTCTATGCTCACGGTGAGGAAAATCGAGAACGTCTCCACCGGGGTGAACAACAAGCCCCGACTCACCGTCGTCATCCAGGAGTGCGGAGAGCTCTGAAAAGGCAGTGGTGTTGGCCTAATCCACACGGAGTCTAGAGCAGGAAAGCCTGAAGGGATGGGTGCTGTGAAGCCCTTAACCCTAGGGCGGCTTGTTGCTGTTGTAAAAAAATGTGAAAGGAAGGTGTGTACTGAAGCCTTTTCGGTTTCTGAGGCGGGTAGAAACGTTCAAAATGACAAATTGACAAGGTTGAGAACACCCTGAGAACACGAACGGAGTTGTTTTTTTGACGTGCTCTCGCCTCACGACACCTACACCCATGCCGTCGTCGCGGTGCCCCCCCCCCTGCTTTTACATATATTGGTCCAACCGTTGCTGTAGGGGCGGCGAGTCACCGTTATGGTTGCTGCAGCCACGCTAGAGAGGGCCCCTCCCCCTGACACAGCAGTATCATCGTGTGCGTGCGCTGGAAGAAGTGATGGAGAAAATGGGAGTTATGAGGGAGTTGATTGCGTCGGGCCGTACACAAGGCAGCACCGATAAGTGCCTGTGAGTGTTGTACCCCACAGACACCCGTTTTGGTTGCTGCAGCCACGTTAGAGAGGGCGCCTCTCCCTGATACAGCAGTATCATCGTGTGCGTGCGCTGGAAGAAGTGATGAACAAAATGGGAGTTGTGAGGGAGTTGATTGCGTCGGGCCGTACACAAGGCAGCACCAATGAATGCCTGTGAGTGTTGTACCCCACAGCCACAACCAACGTCGCCTTTCCAGCAGTATTTTTCGGCATCTTCTTTCTTTGCGGGAAGCGAGCTGCAATCCCTCGTCTCATACAACACAGGCAGTTCCACTACAACGAGTATTTACACCCCTGAATGTGGTTGTCAAGAAATATTTTGTTCTTTTCAACAACGAAAACGTGGTTGCTTTCCAAAAGGCCCCCAAGGCCACATGTATGCCTCGCAACAGACACCAGGCACGTTGCTTGGTAGTGGGCACGGTTGGCCGCAGGGTCCGACGGAAGGGGGCGAGGAAGCGTAGAGGGAAAGAGCTGGCGTTCTAGTGCAGCCGACGGATGCCGAAAAACAGTATTGTAAACAATTTTGCTGTCCAAACATGTATGCCTTGGGTGCAATTCAACCGACAGCAGCCTCTCCATTTCACGCGGAAATGTCTGTTTGGTATAGACACACTGAGAACGTTCGACATGATAGAAACGCTTTGGTTCCAGACAAAGATAGACCCCAACTTTGCGCCGTGCAGGCACAAGAAGGAAATAACACTCTGCGCCTGGCCATTCCGCTCGAGTCTCTCGCCCAAGGTGCACACGTGCACACGCGCACCTATTCCGAGTTGTCATCAGGCCGCTACGCTGCCTAACTAGACCTAGGCTGCTACCACTTTTTCTTGGGCGGGGTACGGCGCCGGTTGTGCACTGGCTGCTCGATCCCGTTGCGTTTCCTCCACTCCATGTCCCAAGGGTTTGACCGCTCGTGTGTGGACGCTATTCGGTCCATTTTGGTCGATGGGCGCCGGGTTGAGACTCGAATTACTTTGTCCTCCGCCCATAGTTGTTCCTGAAGAAAACGAAACCGAGAACGAAAGCATCGAGAGCGATGTAAACAACACGACACAGCAGTGAGACATGAGCGGGGAATTGCGGAAGCCAGCTTAGGGGGGTTACCCGGGAGGGAGTATTGTAGGGTAGGAGCAGGCAGAGCCAAGGGGGTGTGCGCGGATTTCCATGCATGCACGCTTCGCCACTCTTGTTTGCCATTCGCTCTGTGACACCAACTTCACGAATGGAGTGTACGTCACGAATAACGACGCAAGGCGCAGCAATACTTGTTGATACAGAGCGTTACGAGCTCAAGTTTTTTTAAAACCAACCCTGTCTGCCGAAGGACAAAAGAAAACAAAGAAAAGTGTACCACAACGCGCGTTCCCGCCAATACACGCACACAGCGGTCCCAAAGGGCAGATCGGGGCTGCGCGGCACCGACCTACCTCCATCTTCTTCGCGACCGCCGGGCTGGCGTCGTAGTACGCGCTGGCCCACCGTCCGGACGAGAACCACCTGTCGTCCTTCTCCTTGATGTCGTGCTTGCTGTGAAACCGGTAAGGTAACACCCTCACGCCGTGGTTGGCCACCGACCTCACGACCCCGCCCTCCTCCAGGATGACCGCGGCCGCCCGTCGGAAGATGTTGGTGAGGTCGGTGGGGTTCGTCCGCGGTCGGAGAGTGACGATCTTCGTCGCGGCGGAAGGNGGCGGAAGGGATGGGGGGGGGGGAGTGGGGGGGGGGAATGGGAATGCTCATGTTTGGACCGCCTTTCGGCGAGAAAGCAAGCTTATGAGGACATAGAACAGGGAGGGGGTACGCAGACCCTACTCCTGACCCTAACCCAACTTCCCCCAATGCATGTTTCATCCGACATGATTACATCAACGAAAAACCCCGTGAACGCTATTGGTACCTTTGAGTTGGGGGGGGGGGGCGTACTTAGGTTTTGAATGCCTCAGCGGTTAGACCATTGACCACGCGCCCTCGACAGGACGGTGCATTGGTCCCACAGGACTGGTCGCCGATGGCCAATCGTTCCTTCCTACTTTACCAAGGTGAAAAAATGTTTACCCTACCCTGTCTGTCCTATCGATAGCACTTCCCGCCTTTTCACCCACTTTCTATACCCCATAACAGTTACAGTCTTCTCCTGACTATATTCCATGCCTAAAACATCTCCTGCACCTTCCTTCTACATTTCCCAGCTCAGTCAGGTCGTTGTTTGTGTCTTCAAGTCCCATCACGCACACGTATCTAGAATAGCAGCAGCGGATGGTCGGAGTCTTTGAGAGTGCATCAGCAGCTGCGGTATCTTCAAACTGAAGGTGTGTGCAGGAGGCGGTCGAAGGGTCCTTCGGTTTTCTCCCCTTGTGGGTGGAAACGTGGAAACCATTTACATATCTATGCATACCGTATGGGATCTCGAAGGATTGCCGTGGATATGGTCAGGGTGTACCCGTTGCCAAGGACGAACGATGAGTCCAGTCATTTCTGCAAGTACAGCAAGTGCGGTATCACCGCTACCTTCGTGGGCTTAGTTGTGTGATCGACAACCAATTGGGAATATCTACCACGATGGAGGCTTGTTCAGTCAAGATCTCCGAAACTTGAGTTGCCACTTCTTATAGTTTATACGGTAGATGGACAGGATGTCAACTTCGCCATGTGCAAATTGAGCAATACAGCCGATTCTCGTTCAAATCGAGCTGACACAAAAAAAACAGTATTCTGGCTGCTCTTGTCTTGATTAACCTAGGATACGACAGAACCTACCCAGATGGCAATACGTCTCTGCGTGCACACAGCACTACAGCAGTAGTACTTTAGTAGTAGTCCGGAAGGGAGCGGTGAAATAGCACATCGGCACCGCACGCTCGTGCACGAGAAATAGTCTGCGACACATGTTCGACATGTGTTCTTCACCGTTGTTGCCAATGCCTCAGCGCGATGAACACCATGCACTGGTGGTGATACCAGGCAAGAGGGGCAGCGGGGTGGGAAGACAATAAGACCACACAACAATACGTACTTCGGGAAGGTACCACGTGGAAGGCACTGGGATCTGCAACTGAAATAACGTTTGGTAGAGATAGAGGCAAGGGCTGGAGTGGAGTGCGCCTCCTGTTTCCTGAAAATGACAAAGTACGTGGTCGGTGATTTGAAAGGCCCTCAGCACGCACCTGCTGGTAAAAAACCATGGTAGCCTTGCCCCGTTGTCTCGCTTTCGCTCCGCCTCTCTCCGCTGCGCCTGCGCACTGCTGCGCTTTTTGCGACTTAGCGACCGTGAGGACTTCCGGCGGTTCCCAGGGACTTCATGGAAATGAGCAGCAACATACCTCTTTTTCTGGCCTTGCCATCTGCGATGCCCCACACCGAATATCATGACGACCAACAGCCAACCGATACCGTCGCCGTGTAGCGAGGGAGAAGTAACACCGTTGCCCCTACTAGCTGCGTCTCCAGTCGCGCTGAGTAAGGTGAGTCACAGGAACGCGAGGTCTGCGCTGCAGTTGAGTCGTGTTGAACAGAGCCTTGAGACCACGAAATCATTTTTTTTCGGCCCGGACAGAAGAGAGAGCGGGATCAGCAGAGCAAGCAGCAGGCAGCTGTTACTTGTTTACAGCGTCAGGTTTACAAGACGCACGGGTGCGCGTGTTTGGAAGCGGTTACCGTCGCGGACTGTTCTCCTGTCGGTGCGTGGGGTTTGCAACAGGGGGAGGTGCCGTCCGACCCGCACATCCAGCACGAGTATGGTCTGTGGTCGATCACGAGGAAAGCCGCATGATCTGATCTGCCCTGTGTTTTGTGTTTTGTGGCATCCATCGGAGGAACCAATGACCATTAATTAAAAGTCAACGTTGTATTTCGACTTATCGCTTCCTCCCTTGGCGACAGCGTTGTGCAGCAACCGCTCCTGCTGCAGGCGTGTTGCGTCTCTGTCGGGGCTATGCTTGAGCGCGCGAGGGCCACGCCCCTTGCTTGAAATGTTTGATTTTTGACGACACCAACCATCCAACCGCAGTCACATACAAAACATACCTTTGCAACAGGAGCAACTTGTCAAACGACAGCAGTGCGTCATGTTCGCTGTGAAGTCCACATTCCACGTGAAATCTAGAATGTCTCCGCCTGTACAGATGCTTTTGTTCTTAGCTCCAACTGGCTTACTACAACTCAGTGTTGCTTACACAAACTCCTAATAAGCCAAGTCTCCAGTTGGTTTCAATCCACTTGCTGAAAAGACCTCACCACATCCCTTTCGACTGAGGTTATATCTCGAACGGGTAGTCTCTCTGTGAGGTTATTATGTTTACTTTCGAAAAGCATACTGCTGTACGACAGGGAGAAAAAGCGGGGCGTTTCGATTTCTTGGAGACAACAATGGAAGAGAGCTTCAACCGTACGCACACACCCGCTCTCTTTTAGGTACGGTATATCTATAACCGTGCACGGTCGCCACAGCGGCAACCAGCGCGTGCCACTCATTTCACTCCCTCATTACACCCACCCACTCTCTCTCGCTCTCCCTCCGCAGCCAGGACAAGAAGAGAAGATTCAAGTAGCACCTGGGCTGCTCGCTGCCTCTGTCGAACCAAAAACGAGCGAGCCTCGTTACTGAGGGCGGAGGACGGCAGAGCGAACATGCAGCGCTACCAGAAGCTGGAAAAGATTGGGGAGGGCACCTACGGGGTCGTCTACAAGGTGCGTTTTCTACTATATGCATACATGCATACATGTGTCGTGTGCTTCTGCGTCCCAGTATGGCCGAGCGTTCCATGGATGACTGCCACACGAATGAATCAAAAATATTGCGCCGTGGTCATTTCTCTTGTGGCCTCCCCGCCCCCCACACCGACATGCATGAGTCACATGAGAGAACAAAATACCTGTGTGCAGATATCCATGAGACTATTCAATTTTATTCAATTTCTCCTAATATTCAATTTTGTTTCAGCCGCGTGTCGAAGATAGCTCCTCTCTCTATATATGGTTAAAGAGCGTGGGTATGGGAGTTGTGAAAGGACTCCTCCAACATATATTAGAGAATCTACGCCAGTAGATTTGGTAGGTCACACAGCAGATCCATCCCTCTGGAGTGGATCGGCGGGTTGTTGGCTGGTGAGAGACAAGGCACCGCAGCCAAGTGTGATCCGGGGGGCATGAAGCAGGATGAAAATACAACCAGGGCCGCAGCAGGGCTATGCGTATGTAGCCAGGCTACTATCAGCTGCCGGCTGTGACGTTTCCCAGGTTCCCAAGCCCTCGACAGCTCGCACGGCCGACGTGTTTGGACTCGAACAACCCAGCGAGCCTGAACGAACCAATGAAACGACCATCAGACTCTTTTGTTGACCCTTTTACCCACGGGGTAGATATCACTTGTGTGCTGGTCGGGAAATCGTGGATAAACAGAAATTTCGCTGACGCCATGGATTCATTTCGAGTTTATCTGAGACTCTTTTCTTCGATAGAGATGGATTCGCTGGGTAACATTGATGAAATTGACATATGAAAAAGTGGCATATCTGTGTTACACAGCAGTTTGTTGTTGTTGTTGTTGTTGTTTCTCACATTAGCTCTATAGTCCACAAAAAATGGGGAGCCCGTGGTCTCTAAACCCGGCACATACGACGCCGCGAGAAAACAAAATGATATGCATAGAAAGAAAACAACAGTTATCGCACCGACCGTTCGAGAAAAGAGCCCTCGGAAACCGATCAAAATAAAACAAAACAAAAATAAAGGACCCTTCCCACACCCGCCCAAAGAAAAAATCAAAGGGTAACGTACCAGCACCAGGCACTACGCACCAGGGCATGGGAGTAACGGAGCAAACAGGACAAAGAGGCGGCAGATGGGCAGACAGCCAGACGTACAAAAAAACAAAGGCAACAGGAAAGCGAGATCAAGGTACCCAACACAGCAGAGTAGGCAGGGAGGTCATGAAAAATAAAGAAACACGGCACAGAGGCCGAAGGCAATACAAAGGACATGCATAAAGGAGTACAGCTTACAGCAGGAAGGGAAACAGGGAGCAACAACATCAGCCGGGTACATAGTTCGCCACAAGTGCTGACTCGGCCGCCGTACTCGCTTCTACAGCAGTGCCCGGTCTACGTTTCTTCCCCCCCACCGCCGCTTCCCCGGCTCTCTTTCTCTTCGGTCCTGAGATGGCCGTACTCTCTGCTTCTGCTTCCCTCGCGCGCTGGCG